TTTCCCTACCAGTAATGACCTTGGAGTTCCTTTCTTTTATTTCTTCATCTGAACAGTTCCTCAGCTCTCTGCTTCACTCATTCTAATAAGCTCCATTATCTTTGACCTTTCTCTCCACCGCCCCTCCCCCCTCAAATTCAAGTGACTCTATACTAGCACCCCACACATCCAACTTCCATTTTACCAGTCTCCTAAGATTACCAAGTCGCTACACTTTCAAAATCTTCCTCTCCAACTCAACTGGTGTCTGAGCTGAGGTTCTTCTCTGCATTTCTCTTCTTTGAGTGTTCCTAGTTTAAATCCCCCTGCAAACATGTAAACTTCTCCCTCCTTCCCTCCCTTCCTTCCTCCCTATTATGCATGTGCTTTCCTCCCAAAGCATCCCCTCCTGCCTTAGCTCTTGTTGGCTCCTACTCCTGCTGAGTTTTAAAAAATTCCCCCCTGTCCCACAAATTAAAATTAATGTACTTTCTTTGTACTGTTCTGTGACCCTATTTCTAACTCCATTTTCCACAATACCTGTGCTTCGAAAGCTTCCTTTTCCCTCCAGAAGGTTCATGTATTTGTTCCTCCGTTGCCACCATCACTGGGGTTTCTTTTCTGTTGATCAAAATGTTCTTTCCCTTTTCAAGAAATTTTCCCTCTCTGCCAGGCTGCGAAAGGAGGGAAAATCCCGTCTTGCATCCTAATAGATAGAATATCAGCTCAGTTCGCACGTAGTGAATGACAGGATCTTGGCTGGACTGACTATAAATACTCCAAGTCAGGGAAGGAAGAGCTCTGGTCTGGAATTAAGTAGTGGAAAGTAAAGTCTTGTTTGCACCATGCTGCCAGCCAGGCTGATTAGAAACCTTGCTGGACTTATTGCCTGTCTCCAGGAGTCACAACAGGAGGCGAAAAGAGAAGTCTTGGCTACTTCTGAATCACAGAATCACCTCATTTCTTCCCTCTCCATTCATTCCTATTTTGGCCCAGCTGACATTTGGAGATAACAGAAGAAAGCCACTGTCTCTCGGAGGAAAAGTCATGTGGCACGTGCTTGTCTCTGTCGCTGGAATCACACCTTCTTCCTGATGTCACCATGCCCAAAGCTAGAGCCGTGGCAAAGGAGCATGGTGCCTGCCAGTGCATGCTCTGCCACCCTGCCTTACGAGCCGGTGGTGATTTTTTTTCATTCATTACTGATGAGAACTTTTTATACGGGGGGTTTTTTTGGCTGATCCTTATAAATCAACAGGAGACGTCAGTGGGTGAGATGGATTAGACTGTGCTTTCTGCAATAGGCAAAGGATGAGTGACTGCCATCTGGGTACCCCACTGAAAAAGCACATGACAAACCATTGTTCCACCCAACAATCCAGAGAGTTTGAAAGCCACAACAAAATGGCAATAAATAGATGGGTCTCCATGCAGCCAAGGGATTTGAAATCTTGTGCCATTCTTCCTCTTAATGAATTCCTGACAAGAAAAAGGAGTCAGGGCAAGAGAAAGGAAGTGAAACAAGTGGGAAGAGAGCTTTTTCTGTAAGATCACTTTCCCACAAATGGAAGTGTCTCAACTGGAGAAGTGGGTACAAGGACGACAAGAAAAGAGAAGAGGGCTTAAGCAAAATGCATTGCTCACCTCATTTCTACTTAGCCTCCTCCATTAGATTTGTACATCAGAAATAAAACCTCTTCTCCGTAGTGGCACAAGAAATTTGAATCCTGTGAAACAGACAGTCCTAAAACATTGTAGATGACTTCCTGATGTTTTAAAAAAATGGAACTTAGTAAATTCCTATCAGCGAAACCCTGTTTCTTTATGTTTTGACAACTTACGCTTGTCATCCTGGCTGAAAGATATTGAGTCTAATGACAATTTTTTTAGATTGTGTCCTTAACCTCTATGTTTTCCACAGAAAGAGATTATGCAAAACAGTGTTATAAGCATATTGGATCCTGACATTTGAAATACTTTGCTATGGTCTATTATTTTTTTATCTGACAGTGAATTCAAGAAGTCATAAAAGCAGACATGAAAAAATCAGTAAATATATTTCTGATATAGCAAAACATGTCTTTCCTTGGTTGTGCACTACTGTGGTGCAAATGTATAGGGTTTTAAAAAGAAGTGATTTTCAGCAATTATTCAGAATATTTTTCCATGCCATTCCATTCTATTTTTATTTATAACCTTGTAACAGCATTAGCACGTTGATGCTGATTCTGCTGGGATATAAATACATCTTCTTTTTCGGGGCATGCCATCTGGAATCAGAATTCCTTCAAAGAAATGTAAATAACTAGCTTTTTTCCCCTTATTATATCTGTAACATTTTATTTTTCTTTTTGGATTTGCAGGTGGCAAAGGAGGGAAAAAGAAGAAAAACAAAAATACTGCCAAGCCCCAGAAAAATAATGGTTCAAACTGGGCCAGTGTTCCCCTCCCACCCCCTCCCGTGCAGCCGCTTCCAGGCACAGAGTTGGAACACTATGGGGTGGATCAGCAAGAAGCAGGGTAATTTTTTTGTTTTTCTTTTGAAGAAAAATCTGTGGTTTGCAGAGATGAGGCTTTTATTTTTTAAAATTTTGCGTAAAAAAAGTGATGATGTTATTCTGTTTTGTTTAAAAAAAAAAAGGAGAGAGTGCTTTATCCTATAGACTTATTCAGTTCTGTGGAGGGGGAATAGCTTCTCTTGATAGTGACTGAAGATGGAAGTAAAAGTGACCTTGCTTCATCATCATGTAGAGCTTCTCTGCTTACTCGTGCTGAGAATTACCTCGCTTCATAGGTAGCTTAACTGAATTCTGTTTGGGCTGCTTGCAAATGATTGGACTCAGAGTGAGTAAGGATGACATAATCTGTCTCCTTGTATTTTTTAACTGCTTTGATGTTTAAAAATATTAGAACCAACGGAACAAAAAGTCTAATACTAAATTGGATTAATTTTAGAAGATCAAGCAGTGGATAATATTCTTCTCATTGGCTTTAGAAGAAATTTCACAGTTGAGGGAGGCATGCTATTTACAGGTCTTTTTTATTATTTAAAGAACTCTTGAGTTTCTGGTACCTTACACTTATTTTTGGATAGCTTAAACGTGTTCTCAAGGACACAAAATCACACAAAAAGCACTAAATGAGAGGAAAGAGTAATTTCCTGCACAAAGAACAATTATGGAATGCTTTTTAAAAAGCAAATTTAAGTGAAAAACTAGGTTATCAAACCCTGGAGAAAAATTTGAATATATAGAAAAACAGTTTACTGTGGTCAGCACTGTTGGAGCCTTTGAGAATCACTGTTCTGTCAGGGACAAATTTCTGCCTGTTTGAATACATGGATTAATCGATATTTCCTAAGGATGAAACATATGTTTTAAAAATCATTGTAATAGCTTTACTGAATAAAAATATTTCAAGTCTTATCTCTTTTGTAAGCATGAATTGATCATCACTACTTTTATAATGAAAATTAGAAGAATTAAATACTAATATTTGAATTTATACCAAGTCCTTCAACTCTTAAAATGAATAATAAAAAACTGTGTAAGTCAGTGGAGTTCCTGTTAAAATGAAGGTCCATTCAGGCTATATTAGAGTTAGAATTTCAAAGCAAATGCAAGGGCAAATGAATAACCTCACTGATTGTAAGTGTTGTTTAAAAGTCAAGGCAAAAAGTGCATATAATCATTATGTTCTGTATTCTGTTATAAAAAGCTGAAATAAATTTAAGATGGTTTCACCATATAATATTTGTCTTTATCAATTAATATCCTTAAAACACATGTGCAGCCATTTCACTAAAATGATTATAATTATAGAAGGCAAACAACTCGGATTTTCTTTCAGAACAATGAAATAGCATACAAGGTAAATGGAAATACCTTCTAAAGAAATCCCTTGTGACACAGGGCTTGACTCCTTAGTTGCATAAAGTATCTGTTATTGAGCTGGAAGGAACGACGTTGGTCACCAAGACAACACTGGTTATTTAAGGATAAGGTAATCACCAGCCTTCCAGGTTCCCAACAATTTAGACAGTTTTTCCTCTGATTATCTTTTGAATTACATGTCTCTGGGTTTTGTAACATCTCATTAATAGTGGTTGTAACAAGACCTTCTAACGTGCATTTTACCAAACACAAAAAAATTTTGAAGATAAGACTTCCAGTGTCTTGAGCTACAGTAATTTGCAACCAGCTTTGCTGAACCCAATGAATCTGCAGTGCCCATATTTCCCAAGGAAGTATCCAACACTAATGGTCATTCTGTATTCAGGTGTTGATCTTGCTTCCATGGTTTTCAACATGCTAAAATGGAATGGATAGTAGACTGCATTCCTTATGTTGCCTTTAATATTGACATATTGTGTAAAAAAAGCAAGTGATTTTTTTACACTGTTCTGTTTTTCTTTATTTGCTTTGATGTATACTATGTATGACAAGTTCAATGTATTTTAATTTTAGCATTAATTCCATGCAGATGAAATTATATTGTGAATTACAATTGAAAAAATGAAGTTCCAGTCAGAAAAACTGAAAACTTTATTAAAGTTCTCACAACGTGATATGAAAGGTGAACAGTTAGAGCAATAAAATAAGGAAGCTGGCATCGAAACAGAGACTTATTTTTCAGTGCCCGTCTTCCTATAACTCTTGAATTTAAATGTTTCATTGGCATGGGTATGCCAAATAAACTAAACAATTTTGACACCTTATTTTGCTTGCTAGAAATTAACACTAGTGGCCTATCTAGTTAGCAGTGTCCCTGCTCACTTCAGGGGGGTTGGACTAGATGACCTCTAGGGGTCCCTTCCAACCCAAAACATTCTATGATTCTATTCTATGATTCTATTGGCTTATAAATTGTAACAGAAAATCCATAATAGCAGCAAGTGAAAAAAAGTCACCTAACTCAATCATAGGTAAGGATGAAAAAAAAAAAATACACTCTTAGTCCTCTCTACCATCTTCTGTCCAGAAGAACTGAGGTTTGCATTCACCTTCGTTTTTCCATGAACTGCAACAAATGTAAGGAAAGATGAACATGTTAATCCAAGCAGCCATTTTATATAGCATGGTAGCTTTTGGGATGTCTTAAATTCCTATCTAGCCTGTGCAGAAAGTCTGCTTATGCTGTTGTTTCCCTAGCAAGCTCTCTCCTGTGAAACTTTCCGCTTTTTTTGTGGTCTTGTACAAACTCTGTTCTTGTTCTTTGTTGTCTCCCTTAATTTTCTCTTTCATCTACTGCAGTCTTCAAAGTTTTTCTTTTCCTGTAGTAGCTCCCAATCAAGCATGTTCCCTTTTCTGCCTTTTTCAGAGAAGATGCTTTTGCTTGGTTTTATCTGATAAATTTATCAGTAAGGAAATGCTTATTACTTATTCATTATCATCTACTTATATTTTTTTCATCAGTAATATGCATGATCTTGAGCCAACCCCAGTAAAGGCAGTCTTCATATTGGTATCATTGGTTATTTTTGTTTCTTACTATTGATTCCACTTTAAAATGGAATTTTATCTGGTGGATGTCAATATATTTGATAGTCATTTTCTGTTTTTAGAAAAAGTAAAGAAGGTAATACCTTTTACATCAAAAAATCCTTTCTGGCAAGGCCTAGGGAGAGAAGCTTTCTTTGTTGCAACAATGTGTGTAATGAAACAGAATTGTTATAAAATGTGCCCCTTATCTAGCACATCTATTTTTTTATTTTGAAGAAAAAAAATCTATCAATGTAATGAACCAACCTTTTTAATAGCAAAAATTACTATAGAATAAAAGTGCTAAGAATAGAATAAAAACTATAAGAAACATAGAGTCATGTTTGTTAACCAGAACTTATTTAGGGACTTAATTATCATGAAATTACAATCAGAGGTCCCTAGTAAAGTTAAGGTGCTTAGATTTTGATAAGAAGTACTTGAAAAGGGTTGCATGCTTTTTCAACAGGTTGTATTTACTCGGAAAAAGAAAAGAACAGGGATGTGATCAATGTTCGCTATGCTGGTTCCAGAAGTTTCAGTAACCGTATCATTTATATGAGGTGTACTATCTAGTCTCTTAGGTTTGCTAGCGTTTTCTTGCAGATTTGGGGTTTTTTGGTAAAATGCAGGTTAGAAATGGTGGCTTTTCAGACATCTTGCCTGAAATCTGGAACCTCAGTGTCCTGAACTTCAGGCTTAGGCTCCTTTCCATTTCAGACAACATCTAGGTAAAGATATGGTATTTGTGCAGAATCTTTTTACTAAGAAATCCTTTACTAAGAAATCTTTTTACTATCAAACTGAACATTTGGGGATTTGAAGCAAGTAGGGTCAAAAGGCAAGCACATCCAAAGCTTATTTATGCATTATTGAAAAGTCACTAAGGAGCATCTTTCTGCCCTGTCCCTTTTCCAAGAAGCCATTATACCAAAGCATGAGGTAGAGAGAGTAAAAGTAAGTGACAGAACTGTTGCACTGTACATTTTTAGCAGCATGAGTTAGGATGGTTCCTTCACCCTTGGTTGGCAATGTCATGAGTGAATATTGCAAGGAAAGACAAATTAGAGCTAGTCATATCTTAATTGTCTCCTAAGGAATTGACTATGTATCACGTAACATTTTCTTAAATTTCTGTGTTATGAAAATGAAAATGATGATTCACTCAAAAGCCTTAAATGACAAGTGTTAAGATGCATCATTTATTTGCACTTCTGTACACAAACTTATGTTTGTGTATCTATATAGGGTTATATCTAGATACAGATTTAAAGTGATATCAACCTTAATTACAAGATATGTCTTCCACACACTTTTGGATGATTAAGTCAGGTTGTTTTAGCTATCCTGAATCCATACTTTTAAATATGGACTACAGACTTCTGAATAAAGAAAAAGTACTTTAGTTAATTTTAGGAATCTTTGGGTTTTGCTTAAAGTAAATGTTCTGTTCATTATACAAGTTTTGAAACTTCCGTGTCTTAGTGTTCCCTGCCTTTTCTGTAACCCAGCTTCACATGAGAAAATTGGCAGTGATTAATTTTTCTCTGAGAAATTAGTAATTCCTTCCTTCCAAATCAGGAGCCTTAAAAGAGTATTTTTAAACTGGTCTGAGAAATTAATTGTATAATGCAATGCATTGCCTGCCTGCATTGCAGACACAAGGAGTGTACCTTGTCAGCAGTCCTTGAAGGTGTCTCAGATTATGCTTGAGGAATGGCCTTTAGAGTCTGAGATGGTTTGACAGTGAAAGAGCTGTGAGAGCTTTTGGTTGTCTGGTTGCCTTTTGGAAAGAGCTGTCTAACCTGAGGTATTTTAGAACATGCTGGGAGTTAAGAAGAAATGTGTGCAGAGGCTCAAGAGATTGCAGACTGACTAAATGTTTTGAAGATGGGAAGAGTAGACAGTGTTGAGATTTGAGTGGTGTGATCGTCAGTAGAGCTGTGCACAACTGAAGTTGTGTTCAGATTAGGGAATTACTCTGAGGAGATAATGCACAGGGACTGACCACAGTCATTATGGCCTATGTGTCTTGGGTGATGTTGGCGTCTCTAAGGGACAGGGTCCTGGGATGATACTGTAATACAACACTGAATTGAAACGTCTGCGATGAGGACAGAAACAGAAAAGGATTGAATTTCTGGAAAAGCTTACTTAAGGGGTAATAGAATATAAAGCCTCTGTTTCTAGCCCTGATCAGATGTAGCATCACCTCTTACACCTTTGGTATAAGACTAAAAATTGAACCCAAAAGCCTATCAGAACATCTTTTTTATGTGAAGAGTGAAGAATTTGGTATTGAAGACTATTGGTAGTTGTTAATCTTTTAATTTACTTTGGGCATGTGTGTTGAAAGTGTTCAGAAATTTAGCACTGTCTAGGTAAGCCCTAGTAAAGATTAGTTAGGAAGCAGGGTGCTGGCAGAGCTGTCAACATGTGTGCTAATGTATCTTATCAGCTGGTGCTGTGACACAGTATATGCTTAGGGTCAGTGCTGCTGCTACATGAATGTCTTGCACATCACAGTGGATACCTATATGAAGTGTGGTAAGACGAGAATTTACGTGGAAAGTGTGGCTTTTTATTTAATCTACAAAATGAAAACAAATAGTAAATTTATAGATAAATAAAGGGGAGGATGAGAGTAAGGAAGTGCATAAGCACAACTACGTAAAGCTCACTCTGCCTTTTAAGAATGCTGCTATTTTCATGGCTAGGTCAATCTTCACATGTTCTCCTAGATTAATGATCCAGGAAGTAAGTTAGTTTGGTTTTGTTGTTGATTGTGGCGTAACATTATCTAATCACCATTAACAAACGAGATAATGGTTTGGTAATTTTTTGTTGCACACCTTATTCAAGTTGCTTAGCAGTTGTGGGAAAAATTAAACAGGCTCATTAAAGAGAATTTAGCAGTGATGACCCTATTTTCAATAAATGATAAAGCTCGCAGTGCGTATGAGGGTTCAAACTGTAGCAGAAATCTTGTATACCCCCTACTGCACTTCAGAGATGAGATTTGATATGTACTAAGTTTACATGGTTTTTATTTTAGATATGACAGTGATGGTTGGTGTCCGCCTTTGCCAGTTCAGACCTACCTACATCAGGGCATGGAGGATGAGCTTGAAGAAGATGATGATCGTGTTCCCACACCTCCTGTCCGAGGAGTAGCTTCATCACCTGCGATCTCCTTTGGGCAACAGTCAACTGCAACCCTCACACCTTCTCCACGAGAGGAGATGCAGCCAATGCTTCAAGCTCACCTTGATGAATTAACTAGGGCTTACCAGTTTGATATAGCAAAGCAGACATGGTAAATGTTTTGAAGGGGGCACCTGCGGTCTGGGAAATGAAAGCATAGTAATAATTTATTCCTCAATGACATAAACATCATCTGTGTTCAACAACATTTCAGTAATGTTTCCAAAGCAGTAAAATGGATGAAGAAATAGCAAAACTGTATCTACAGTGTGAAGGCCTTAAACATTAGTAGGTGTTTTTTAAACCATAATGCTTGGTAAATCTTGGCTAAAACCATGTAAAAATAATATTCCTCTGCAGTTTTAAATATATTCAACTAAGTAGTTAACACCCACCTACTGACAACTTTTATACAGTTCAGAGTACTCTCTTTTCAGGCTAACAAAAGATAAGATTTTTTTAGGATTTTCAAAAATACTGAGGTTCTAACTTCCTGTTTAAAAATAATGCGAGTCACCTGAAATAGCAATGTAGCAGCTTTTACCCTGTGTCACATGAGAATGAAGCATTTGCATCTCATCTCTGACTGCAATTTGAAATACCATGAAATTTTCTGATTCATAGGGAAAAGCCCCTAAATAGCAGGAAGTTGTTAGAATTTACAAAATGGACCTAGCGTTTTAGAGTGCTTTATGCCTATTTAAAGGAAGAGCGAGCAAATACCACAGTAACATTTCCCCTGCAAAACAAACAGAAACAATCTCTTCAGGGATTGAAAAAGAACTTGTCATCTGCACCAGGCTGGGGATACGGTGAAGGTCAGTTGCTTTCTGGATGTTCCCTAAGTGGCAGTTGTCCTTTTACAACTTTTCTATCCAGACAAAGCCCACGAATCTCGGAGGAGAGAGGCAGAGCTCGTTACTGAATGGCGCACTGCCAGCAGAGGAGCAGCCTTTCTTCGCTGGTAAATAAAGCCACAAAGTTATTCAGCTTGAGCTACCATAAATAGATCAGGCAGGTAGGCAGGTGGTGCCAAATCAAAGCCAGCTGTTTTCCCTGGACACCGTCGCAGCCTCGAGGCTTGTCTGCAATCTGCACTCAATCAACAGGGTACTTTGGTCCTGCTGCAGTGCCACGCTGCCAAGCGCGGACCCCGGCCTGCCTGTGGGACAGACCCAAATCCCAGGCAGCAGCTAGACCTGGCCTATTGAAGGTAGCTGACTTCTGAGCCAGCACACAGATGCATACCCTGCCTGTACAGTCAATCACTGCTGCATTTTGCAGCTGTTACCCTTTCTATGCCCTACAAACTGAGGGTGTCAGTTTGGGAGCCGATAGTGTAGTAGGACTCTGTAGCAAAGCCTCAGGAAAGCTGACAGGAAAGGTCTTGCTCCCTTTTTGGAGAAACGAAAATTGATTGGGATATTTCATAATGTGCTTAGGAATATACAAATTTTAACGTCGCTCTTGTGTAAGGTCTCACTAATTGAGCATGAAACTCTGAAAAAAAATATAGAGGAGATAAACTGCACACTAGGTATTGGGGTAAATATTGAGGGTTGCAAATACAAATTATTTTTGCAGTAGGTGTGACCTGGAATTATTTAGTGCTTTGAAAATGGTTGGCTGGATACATATCATGCTGTTCAGCAAATGGTGTTTGAAGTCAGTGGAAAGTCCTCCATTGTCTTAAGAGGGAAGGAAGAGTTCTTGGTTTTCTTTTCATGAAGTTAACCTCTCCAGTGTAGAAGCGGGTGAAGAAAACAACAAGGTGAGACCTGACAGGTTACTTTAGGAGTAACAGAAGAGAAATATAGAGACCAGACAACTAGAAATTTAAGAAAGAACACATTAGAGATCACTGGAAAAGTACCTAATCTTTATGGCCTTGATCCAGCAAATCACTTAAGTATTCGCTTAACTACAAGTACATGAGAAATTGGCTTCAATTGTTCTATCACATGCTTAACATTAAGCATATACTTAAGTATTTTGCTTGATTGGGAGCTAATCACACTGTTTATTGAGGGTTAGTTAGATGGTAGTGCCCTTTAGTGCAGTGTTTTGAACACTGCCTAGCTAAGAACCTGGTGTCCAGATGGGAAAATATTCAAGAACTGCCAATCAGAAGGGGGTTGTATATCAGAAGGGAAGCATTTGCTCTGCAAATAAGCAATAATTAAAAACCTACACCAAGGTGGAGAGAGATTCCAGTGGTACATAACATTTACTGTGCCATTCTCAGATCCGATAGCTTTACATTATGAAAAAGAAAAAGCTGTTTGAATAAAGAGAATTACTGCACTTATCAAGTGAAGGCAATAATACAGCACAAAGTTTTCGCTGATAATATATTAGGGCTAGGAAACAGGTGACAGTTGTAACTTTTTCTGTTATGCTGATGTCCAAGCAAGAGACCAGCAGAATCCTGGATCCCGTCCAGAGCACTGCCGATTCGAATCAGGTCACGGCACCTCATGAACAGCCACCCAAGGATTCCCACATGCCTAAGTTAGCAATTTCAAGCATGGTACATGCTCTTATGCCAAGGCCAGTCACGCCTGCGTCCCCTGGCACAGCTTGCTGTGAACCTGTAGTGCTGTGGAGAATGCTGCCTTAAAAGCTGATGGTTGTTCTTTTCCTCTCTAGCCTCTCAGAGACCATGCAAATGAAACTCCAAGTCCTACGCTTGCTTTTGGTCATTCAGCTATCCTGTGGGTGGTTTTTATCTTAGCTTTTCTTTTTTGAATTGTGACCACTGTATGCAGTAATTTCACACATGCATGCCCTAATACTGCTGCAATTAAATTAATTAAACTTCTTGGAATAAAGCAAAATGAAAAGGCCTCGGTGGTAATAGGTTCCTTGGACCTGAAAAGTTCTTCTGTCCTACTGCTCATTTCCTCCTCTTTAGGGTGAGTTTTACATAAGGCCACTGAGTCTGTTTAAGCAGGAGTGAAATTTAATTTTGGCTCAACATGCGATTTAGAAGGTGGAATATTGGGTGAGACATTACATGCTAGGTTGGGATTCAGAACTGTGCTTTTCCATGGACTTCCTACCTAATTTATGTAGCCTCTTTCTTCATGTATAAAAGGGCAATCTTAACCTTACCCATCTTACAGGAGGGGAAGTATATTTAAGACTGGAAAGTGCACAGGTACTCTGGTATTAGAAGCTATGGTGAATAACTGAACTGACTTTTCTTGAGTTTGACCTAACAAGCACATTTGGTAAATCTACTTCAGGACTTATTGAAAGGCGTATCTTCTATTGACCATGGGGTACAAAGTCTCTTCCATTCTGATGACGTTTTCCTGTTTGTTTGTGTAGGCACATCCAAAGCAATACACAACCTCCTCAGGCTCCAGTTCCACCCCTAGGATATGTATCTGGAAACCTTATTTCAGATTTGGAAACAGATGTTCCAGATGATGATGATGATGACGAGGATGATATTGAAGAAGAAACTGTAGAAATCAGTAGGCCGCTAAGAGGTCTAGAGCATACTCCAGGCTCCAGTATGGACAATCTAGACAGCTCTGTGACAGGTAACCAAACACAGTTAACAGTGACACCAACTTGTTCCTAACAGTAAAATACATCATCAGTCAAACACTTTCTAAGTGAAAATTTATTCCACTCTATTTCTGTAACATTTAAAATGTGTTAATATTAAACACTAAAGATAAAGAAGGATTTGAAAATACTTTGCTGCAAAATGATAAGAAAATTCATGAATTTTAAAAAGCTTTAAAGACTTGAAAGAAAACTCAATTATATCCTAGCTTTCATGAAAGTTCACTCTACTGGAGAAGCAAACCAGTTACATAAAAAGGAGGGGGAAGACCTCGGCTTAGGAATATATATTTCATAAACCAGGAGCAGCATAGAAATGTTATGTTAAAGCACTTTTAGATATTTTGCTGGGTAAATGCTTTCACAGATGAACACAGGGAAGTTAAAAGACTTCAGAATAAGTGTAGTTAGATCAGCACCACGTTTATTTGTAGAGTAAATACAACATTTATGTAGGAAAATGTGTATTTTGAGCCTACTTTGTATTGCTGAATTTAGTAATTGTTCCTTTTCAGTGAAGATATTTAATTATTCTGACACTCCTTCCTTCACTGCTTCTCGCCCTTTGCATGCCTTGGAAAGTTACAACAGGGATCATCAAAGGGGACCCTGAAAGGCATGCTAAACTAATGCACAGAATCTCAATGAATAAAATTGTTGTTGATGAAATGCAGGCGGTGAAAGATATTTTTTGAAAAATACAGATTTTAGATGGATATAATGAACTTTTTGTAGACATCAGTGTATTTCCCTTTAGGTTAAACTTGGGCTTCTATATACTATACTGTATCTGTAATGTACAGCTTTATTGGAGACCCAAATGTACATAGTGTCCATAGTTCATAAAAGCTAGTGGGTGCTTCTTCAGTCTTTGATCTCTGCATGAGAACACTGATTGTTAATTGTACTTTAAGGGAGACTTGCTCAGTATTACTTACTACCATAGCGCTGCTGAATTTCATCTCATTGTTCTGGACAATTCCAAGAATTTTGCACCCTTACTTAAACATTGCTAGTCTGAAAACACTGCAGGAATATGACAGTGATGGAGCATCAATACCTATAATTTTCTTCCTTTTCCCTTGTTGAATTAAATAGTGTGTAGCTTAATCCCACTTTCCTTCCAGGTTTTCCTTCACCCTAGCGCCAGACTGCTTGCCAATCTAATTAAGATTTAAGAATTGTATCTCTGCTGCTGCGGTTTGAAATCCAGATCCAACTGAAGGCCGTAGAGTCAAAGTTTAAACCCCTGAATTGAGAAGGTTAACTTATTAGTGCATGAGTATGTTAAGTCACTTTGCTTGAATTTCTAGTGTAATCTCCTTCCAGCTATAATTCTGCATATTTTTGCATATCTCGCTAATGGCTCAGAAGTCTTTCCATTAGGAATGCAGTAAGGGTTTTGCACTGGTAATACATAAATAAATAAAAAAAATCAGGTGGCTATATATTTTCCATTTGGTATGTATTAATATGTCAATGTTGATATAACTGTAAATCAGAAATTATTGTTTTTCACATTTGCATTTTCACCTGATATTTTGGACTGTCCCACCTCGCACAAAGTAAGGAATAGCTGCATTTCTGCTCTAATTCATAGACTTCTGTTTATCCTTTTATGAATAACATTCAAGCTTGTTCTAATAGTCACAAATCTTGTTTAATTATTGGAGTGTTAAATGTTCAATTATTGGAGTGTTAAAAACTTCCAGGTCTATTTTTTTGAAAGACGTTGGGCAGAACCTGGGGTGTACTTAAGGTGATCTAAATGCACTCCCACTCATTTCCACCACTATCTTGATGTGGCCTCATCCAGCTGAAAATTAAGGTTTTTCTTTTGCTTTTTCTTGTTTAATTACTAGTTGGATCTGTTCCTCGATCTGGTTCACCACATGGCAAGGTGTTTGCCAGCACTGCAGGAAGGGAACGTGCAGCTGGAAGGGAAGAAAGATGACAGACCTCCCCTATAGCATATAGCCAGCACTTAGATTCACTTAAAACAATTATGGAACTATAAACTTACAGAAATACAGCCTGAGAGTTAGTCTAAATGATCTGTAAAATGGCAGACTCTCCGAATAACAAAACTGCTTCTGTTTTCCTCGGTTGCTATACGGGTAAAACCTCAATTTTCTGAGGGCTTGTTTTGGGCTTGGTTTTGGCTTGGTTTTTTTCTAGAGGTGGAAGGAAATTGTGAATTGGGCAAATTGTTTCAAAAGATAATTTTAATTTTTGTGTATCTGTGTCTGTTAAATCTTCCAGGCTGCGTTTACTGGTGTTAAGGAGGGTATATAACAAATTGCATTCATTGTTTCTAAGCTGTTTCTCATTCTTTAATTTGATTGCTTTTAGAGTACTGTAGAACAACAACATTGTTCTTTCTTGCACTGAGAATATAGAAGCTACTTCTTTTCAGAGGGCTTTTGGTGACTTAAACCAGCATTTTCCTAGGAATTTATATATGACACTTTCACTTATTTAAACATTGCATTAAAAAATGGAGGCAAATGAGAACAGCTGACCCAGATGAAGCAATATTTCTGTTCATTTTGAAGCACTCACTGTGAGTTCAGTGTTTGTGAGAAATCTAAATTGACATCCTTCAGTCAGGGCTTCCTCCAAGTAGAGTCGCTGTATGGTGAGCAGGGCAGTTTCCTCTCCCTGTACTGTTAGCATGCCTCAGCCCTGACTTGAAGATACCCACTCTCGGAGTGAAATGGTGCTTTGTTCTTTGTGGCTGAGCTGTGACCAAGGTTTGCATCCAGTGCCAAATGTGGGATTCTCTGAGGGGAAACACTGGCACTGTGTGAGCCAAGCTCAAACTGCTAAATTCCTCTGAAACCACAGTGTTGCTCCTTTAAACTGTTTAGAAGTCAGGTTGTCTTCCAGGCCCTTGAGTTTTAGTTACAGCTAGCTGAAGATTCAGACAAGGATTTAATCTGTGCTATTAAGCTTTTCTCTTCGCAGGTGGCAGAGACACAATGTTGACGTGTATAATAAAGTGAAAAGAAAGGAGGAGTGCACAGTAACTATATCTTAACATTTTCCAGATATTGCAAAGAAAACTCAAAGAGGGAAGTTTAGATTTGAACATTTGTGGGATAGAATATGAAGCTAACGCCAAAGTTTTGCTTCATTCCCAGCATGGTTTGTTAGGATACTGAGTTACTGATTCTGATTAAAAAAAAAAAAGGAAGAAAGAACTGAAAAGCAGCTCTAAAACTTCTGCTCATTTTTAATTCACAATAATTTAGGGTTATTTTTGCTTTCAGAGTACCACTGAAATGTGCTTTTTCTTCTCCCTATGTTTAATGTTTCCCTTTGTCATGAATTGCTGTGCAGAGTTATGGCATGAATGGTCACAGAGTTACATTATTCTACTTTAATAGACTTAATTAATTGCATACAATGCCTATATAAGAAATTAATTTGCATTTCACTGAAATCACTAAGAACAACACTAGGTTTTGTCAGATCAAAGTATTATGGTTTGGGGGTTGTCATTGCCCTCTCCTTATCTTCTGCTCCCCCAGCATCACCAGTGAAGCTGGGAGTGAGAGCTGTCAAATCTTCAGTCCTGGTGCATTTTGACCGAGGGGGGAGATGATACATCCATTAACTAGCATGGTAATTAGAGCAAGCCCTTTTCTACCTAACTGATACAAACTGATATAAGCAGAGAGATATTCTTGTAAACAGTACTGCTGCAAATTGCTAACATATTTTTTAATAGAATTATATAGATACGAAATTATAAAGATCACCATAGGTTGTATAGCTCAGCAAGGAAGAAAATCCCTTATTTGGCATGTTTTGGTCTTGATTAAAAGAATCATTGATCATTGTCTGTATGGTAAAAGTTGTTCATTCATTGTGTCTGAGCACAAATGGAATAATTCTTGAAAATTACACAAAATCATTTTCATGAGCCATATTTTACCATGGCAGAGTTCAATATTTATATTGATTTGCTTAGGGATACCTATTGCAAAAGATTCTGTTTTATAAGCAGTTAGACAGATTGCATTTAATAGGAAGAATGTGTTTCATGGATTAAATATGTGCTCAGAAAATAGGAAACTGCTACTTTTTGTATCTCATAAAAATGGTAATGCAACAATTAGCAGGGTCATATTATAAAGCATAGACTTTACTCTAGCTTAATGGATCTGGGGATATGCATTCATCAGCAACGATGGATTTAGCATAAAACGACATGTAAATGAATTGATGACTGATCATAAATTAATTTTAGTGCTGAAGAAGTAATAGAGACACAGCAAGATGCCACTTTATCATAGTATTTTACTGCTCAGCAACATTTGAGCAACTACTTAATGTTCTGTCTGCATTTCTTTTCTAACAGCTTGAATAAATTTGAGAATTTTTTGTGCCTTTCAGCAATATGGAAACCAAAAAATCTAGAAAGATTGAAAATGCAAACACAAATAAATTTGGCTAAGTGACATAAATTCATTTTTCATTAAATGTTTATGAAGCACATTAATTATGGTTGGACCTATGAAGTGCCAAATATGTATGTATGATTTTTACGTCCTTTTGTTTAGTCTTTCCCGTCCCAAAATAAACATTTTAAGGCTTAAGGGTTTATTTCAGGTGTATACATTTCAATAGTTTGGCATTTATGTCTAAGTATAATTTGAAATATAAGACCAGGTCTAATTTTTGAAGTGGGATCATATTTATATTCTTCAGTCAGCCCCTTCTATTATTCTATCTTGTTTTAATGGTGCAGTGACTATTGCCCCTATTATTGCATCATTTCCACCAAAATCAGTGGACGTTCTTTCTTTCTTTCTAATGATGACAGGAGTCAGATAGATCCAAAAGAGGATAATGTCTTCCTCCTGTAAAGGCTAAAGGAATTCTGTAAATGATTTCAGCTGAAGTAGCATCAGTCCCCAAGGATTTCATTCATACTTCACAAACCTAAGCAGTCTAGCCCTGTTCCATCAAAAAACTTGCAGGGGAGCAGGGGCCTAATATTAGCATATGCTTAATAGTCTTGTGAAGGAAAGCACATAAGCATGCACATACAAGTTCCAGTGATGTAATTTGTTCACTTTAAGCATGCACATAAAGTTTGGTATGTACAGAAAAGTATCTAATGGAATTTTCAAAAGTGTTAGGTTTGTTGTAAGCAGCTTTTACTTCACAAATGCAGGAGTACACTTTACACAGAAAAACAGCAATTTTATTGCCTGCAAAATGCCACTAAAAGCAGTAGCATGCAGTCTACAAGAAGCTAGCACCTCTGTTCCCCTCACCTTTCCCTGAGAGCAAAGAAGCTTTCTGTTTGCATTAGCACCAAAAGATATTTTATGGAGCAAGAAAACATAGTTCAACTTTTCACAGAGTTGATTTTGTTCTGCATAAAGCATTTTCTGCTGCTGTCAGCAAGACTAAAATTTACAGTTGCCAGAAAGCGTAAAAACTCAAATGTGCTCTTGGAAAACACATAGTGAGCTGCATGTAAAGGAGACACTAAAAGCCTATTTCATTCCATTTCAAAATGCACAGTTGATATGAAAGGGATGTCAGCATCTCTTATTCTGCCTTTATTCAGAGAGAAACAAATGTGCATCTGATTTGGAAAACAAGGGGCCGGTGGATGCCTTTAAACAGGCAGTTACCATGTGTGCTACTTTAACGCAGCTGCATGGTGGCCTGAGGTGCCCGGGCTGGGCTCCAGCACTCCCATGCCTTCTGGGCAATGGCTGCAGTTCTGGAGGGCAAAGCAAGCTGGGGTTTTACTGCTGCAAGTTGTGGTGGGGAAAAATTGTTTATGCAGGGAAACTAAATAGCTCGGGAACCAGTAGATATCATGTAGAGATTTCACCTTTACCCACCTGGTCACACACAGCTATGGGTGCTGTATATGTCTCATGGTAGCTTGCTGACTTCGGCAGTTATAAAGAGTTTTGCCTCTGCTTCCAGCAACCGGAAGTATCATTGAATCATAGAATGCTTTGAATTGGAAAGGACCTTTAAAGGTCAACTAATTCGACCTCCCTACAATGAGCAGGCACATCTTCCATTAGACCAGGTTGCTCAAAGACCCGTTCAACCTCACTTTGAACACTTCCAATGATGGAGCATGCACAACTTCTCTCGGAAACCTGTTCCAGTGCCTCAACACCCTCATTGTTAAAAATTTCTTCCTTATATCCAACATAAACCTAAATCTAAATCTAAACAGTTCTGTGTCTTTCTTGTGCGGAGGACCTCAGAACTGCATGCAGTACTCCAGGTGGGGTCATTGTTTGCTTTAGTTGTCATCTGTGTTGATGTCCCAGTAAAGCTCACATCCCTGTGAGAATTGAGCTGCTTTTCCAGCCTGATAGGAGGTCCGTTCTGGAGGATAAGGGAAAGGGAAGTGAACCATGGGCAGAGTGCACTATTCCTAGTCTTGCTAATGCTTGTTGTCCATGGGAATGCAGAAGAATTCAGGATCAGGACTTTCCTATAGGGTTAGCCTGAAAAATCAGCAGTCTGATAACAGCACTCTACTGATAATTAAAATTTAGCTATTTTTAGGAAAACCTGACATGTCTGTGAACGTGTGGAACAATAGGTGCATGCACACACACTGGAGAGAGCATTATGGGCTTTTGCAGATTTTTAGTATATTTCGTACTTAAAATGTGGATTTTTTTTTTTTTTTTTTGACTGGATGAACTTCAGCCTAGTCCTTCAGAGAGTAGGTGAAAAATAGCAACTATTCGTAGACATAACCTGAAAACTGAGTGACTGGTTAGCAAACGGACAGAGAAATGTGAGCAAATGGAAATTCAAACGAAAGTTCCTTTAAACATCCATAGTCTTGTGTCTATGATACTGAAAACCATGCTGATTCTGTACAGTATATGTTTTTATATGTCTTTACGTAGAGAGTAGAATGTATCATACAAAACCCTCGGGCCCTGAAACTAATGAGATATATGTTAAATTTTAGCACCCGACTATCATCCTTTGATATCTGTAGGTCTAGTTATATTGTTATGTTTCAGCTTGTGCTTACACATTTTGCAGAATATGTTGATAAGCAATTGTTTGAAAATGTCCTCAGCTATAGCATTTCATTTTCTTACATCTTCATGAAGTGTTTTATCTGTAGTATCTCTTTTCATACATCATCAGTAACTGTTGCTATGCCTTTTTACTCTCCATTCACTATGATGTCCTATCGCACTTTGATTCTTAGTTCAGAAACTGTCTTCTCAGAGGAAATTCAGTTTTAGCCTTCCCTTGCTGTTATCTAGGCTTCCTTACATCTGTCTGCATCAGGTCGAGTCTGTTTGGAAAATAACAATTTTATGTGTGCTCTTGGCAAGCAGAATCAAACTCTGTCACTCTCTATTGCACTTACCACACTTTCTGCCTGTCAGACCTCCATAGACCTCTTCGGTTTCTTTTCTTGTATCTTAGGAGTACATTGACTTTTGTTATTATAGCCTGCCACTTTGCTGACATTAAAAGGTTTGGTCATTGCAGCATCACAAAATAATCCATTGTTCTTGGACTTTGGGGTGCAGCGTGCTACTGACTAAATTCCAGTATTCATTTATTGTACTCATGACTTAATTTTGCAGGGTATTTTTAAAATTTGATGCCACCATTAGTTAATTAGCCTATCAAGTTGGTACTAATAAGCAGGTCATTATTGGTTTACTAGTTAACAACTTTGAATGCGATAATACTTTCTTGGACATGGATTAAAAAAGGCTTTGAAGAACATGATACACTGCTACACTTCTTACATATATTTACATAAATTCAGCTGTGCTAACTGAATAGTGAAGTTAGGGCCACGATGTGTCTCTTCACATGTGTCTTCCTATCTTTGAAACCCAGTTCGCTGCATTCTCATGGGTTCCCTGGGCTTTTTTTTCAACATATGCATTCCACTGTTTTGAAAAAGCACATTTCAGGTATTTCAAGATAGGTGCCTGTGCTATCTCAAGACAACGCGCTATGTCTACACAGCACCATGCAATGCCATGCAGCAGCTCAGGTCCCAGAAGCAGTCTGGTAGCTCTGCACCTCAGCTGGACTTGGTAACTAATTAGCATGGCTGCCCTGTTCCTGCAGCAAAGCTAGGTGCTTGGTACTCGCTAAGTTTCCTTTGCCTCCTGCTCCACTGCACAGTGTAGAATTACCCAGTGACATTTACTCATGATTTTTAGAAGTACAGAACAACCATCAAACTCCATCTGAAACCACAAAAGAAACAGAGTTTCAGTACTCTGAAAAAAATCCGAACTGAACCATAGCTTTTAAAAATATATTGTACTGCCATGTTGTGTAGCTGGTTGAATTGGAAAAAAGAAAAGAAAATGTAAATGAAGAGCAAATAAGATTAATCCTCCTTCACTGTTTTGGTCTTTACATTTTAGTTATATCAAGATTTCTATATTACTTCCATGTGCTTTTTCTGGTATCTGGTTTTCTGACTTCATTTTTACGATGTTGTTATCACTGTCCTCTCCTGCAGTGGTGGTAATCTGTGGCTAGAAGGTACCATAAGGCCAGCATTGGCTTAGTGACTGACTCAGTGTTAAATTTGAGTATATATTTGCTCTGCTCTTGAATGTTAATTATTTCTAACCTTTAAAAAAAGTAGCTTTAATCCACTAGAATGAACTACTTTAGGTCAGCATTCTTCAGGCCATTAAAATTGCTCATCTATTTTAAGGGTTTGGTCAAGAAAATTACATAATGCCAGTCTCGCTCAGGATATTTCTTGAAGCCCATGTCTGACTTCAGCCATACCAAAATTTACACTTGTGCTGTCCTAAATTAAGGCTTTGTTTTGCAAATATCAAACTAGATAACAATTTATAGTATGTCAAGTAAAGAAAAAAAATCATGTTAATTTCAATCCCAGGGAAAAATCTATGAACTTGCAAAAGAATTTTTTATGGAGCCTTTGCATTTGTAGAGAATATGTATCATTTTGTTTACAGGATCAAAGCAACACGGAGCTAGCTATGAATGAGAACTCACTTAGATTTGATAGTCCTCTTTTATACAAGGTCTGTCAGATAAACTTTGGGTTTCCTGTTCTGAAAGGACATATTAAGTGGGTCTTTAAGCTTTAGATGAATATTGCTCTTTTGTACCCAGCTCTGTCAAATGAATTTGGGGTTTCCTGTTGAGAAAGGACATATTAATATAAGTGGGTCTTTAAGCTTTAGATGATCAAAAAATATCAAATGTACGCAACTCACTAGACCCCTACATTTGTTTTTAGGTTCAATGGTAAATGGATGGGGTTCTGCGTCTGATGAGGATCGTAACTTTTCTAGTCATAGATCTAGTGTAGGTAGCTCCTCAGATGACTCGATCTTTACCAGCGGCAGTTTTGCACAAGCACTGGTTGCAGCAGCAGATAAAGCTGGTTTTAGGCTGGATGGAACCAGCCTGACAAGAACAGGTTTGTAGACTCAAAGTTGATGCTTTCTGCATGAAGGGTGTCTCTGCCTATTCTTCTCTGCAGTGAACTTGCGTCTCACACTTGTCTAACATGCATGGAATAAGGTGGCTGGAGATATTTTTGTCAGTATGTCGTAAATGAACCTCGCATTATGTTTCATTTTTAGTGATTTGTAGTAGTGAATAGCACAAGCTTTTAATCTGCACCTTCAGTCTGCTGCAGTTTCCCTCTGTGTTGACTCTGCTATAGATTTACTGACATATGCTCTGTTTAATATTTCGGTGAAGAGATCACTAATTCTGCCATGGTCTTTGATGATTTCATTTTTTGCAAAATGTCCTCATAATCATTCACATCTCCAGTGATGAACATGTTTAAACTATTATCTCCAACCCTGCTCTTCTGTTGCATCTCTTCTTGCAAAAGTGCATTTTTCTGTGAAGTTTTTCTAAGCATGGGGTGAATTGGTGTGCTTTTATTGTTAACAATACAAACTGTTTAAAAGCCTTATTAATAGCTGATTTTAAAAATACTTAATTCAATAAGTTAATATGTTTTTATAAAATTTAATTTTAATTATACCAACTGAATCTACCAAGCTAAATATAACAAAGATAGTGACTATTGCATTTGAAAACAGCCATTCTTCTAAAATGAATTAATTAAAAGTAAACATAGTTTAGTTCATGTTTTCAAAGCTCTCTATGTTTTATTTCTAGCAAAAAGATAAGTAAAAATGATTTTTAAATATTCTGAAAAAAAGAACGTATTTGCATTTACTTAGTCTTATCAAAAGAGCAAAAATAACTAATTATTGAAATCCACAAATCTAATAGCAAAGTATGAACTTAGGTCATATTTTTGTCATGCTTTCTCAGCCAATTCCCGCCCACAGTTCCCATAATATTCTTATAATTTAAAATTTTTTACTGTTAGTCTAGTATGAAGTTTATCTTTCAGTAAAATGTGTGCATTTATGAGAAATGTCTTGGCATGTTAGGGCTGAAAACTTCAGGCTTTCTGCAGGCAATGACTTTATGGCAAACACTGCCTTTTAGGAACGTTAGGAATGAAGACAAGAATTGATGGCGAAGTCCTAGGTTGCCAGCAAACTGCAGGGTGAACAGATGCAGCTTTTTTCAGATCACTGGGACTTTTGCTATTGACTTTTGTTAGACATAAGCATCCTTAAAAGATAGCTGTTTCATTGTTAAAAGTAGTTAAAACCCTCACTTGCTTCCTACACTAGTGGAAAATTGACTGAGTAAATCTGTCTCATCATTTGAAAAAAACAAAGCATAACAAACCAAAAACTGATGTAGACTCATCTACTGTGGGCACATTTGGCCAAACTATAATTTAAAATACACGTTTTTGCTTGAAGAGTCTCCTAAACAGTCTTGAATGAGAGGAGAAAATCCTTCCCAACCTTTTTTTTGGTGTTGTTCTTGGCCTCTAATGAAAAGCTAATGCAGATTCACCCAAAGTTAATGTCACTTCTACCAGGCCATTGAGGAGTACAGTTTCTGCCACAAACATACACATAACATAAGTAAATGGACACACAAACGCATAGACACTTCTAAATAAATATAATTTCTTATTGTAGCTATGTAAACGGAAGGTGCAAGGAAAGGATGAGAGCCCTCTTGTCCATTATATTTTGCTAGCTTAATTTGGGCACAAATTCATTTAAACTGGGTACTTGCATGGAATTCCTCAGACAGACTATTAGAGTTTAGGGTACAACAAAGTATCTAATGGCTGTGGGAGAGACTTTGTGATTAATACCTTCTTACTCTCTTAATGATCCATCAGGCAAAATGGAAACAAAATAAAGCCTGCCTGTCAACAAACAGCCCTCCCCTCCTCTCCTCTCAAAAACCTCAGCAAATGGAAAGAACTCCCCAATGCTTCCTGCAGTTTCATTACGATATGATACCTCCCAGGGCAGCATGGATCAATCAGACATGCCTATTACAGACCTGCTGCACCACAGCACGCGCGCACACACACACACACACACACACACACACACACACACACACACACACACACACACACACACACACACCCCCCCATCATGCATATCGGTGTCTTGTAGTGGAGAAGGAGCAGTGTTATTTCTGTTCATGGCTCTCGAGGCAGTCTGAAGGTCCTGACTTTTTTTGGCCTTTGCAGTCTGGACAGTTATTTTCACCCATTCAGAACAGCTGTGAAGCATTCTCACTGATATGAAAGGAGAAGTCCAACTTGATAGCCTCACATGGGCTGTGTTTGATTGCCAAGCATAAGAGGCACTGGTAAATCCAGGCACGAGGTGTCTCTTCTGCCAGACACTTTGATTCCAGTTTCCAGAAGCCATCATATGATTTACCATGAAGTTCAGACAGTTTTCCTTTTTAACGCCCTTGGGAAATTGAATCCAGAATTAGCAGATTCATCCTTGTCTCCACTTATACGCACTAGATCTACTACAGAGAGTCTGACACTGCTCAGCAGTTCTTCCTGAAGGGCTGCATACAAATACAAGATGCTGTAATCAGTTATTAGGTGCATTGCAAAATGTGGTTCGGGAGCCTGCGCACCATTTGTGTTTGCCCCATGTCTGATTTAGGTCAGTGCTATTTATTTTCCCTCATTTTCATGGAGGGATAAAAGAGAGAATGGTTGGTGTCTATTTCTTTTTCAAACCAACATTCTGAATGAATAATCACATTTCTTTAGTCAACAGAGTAAGTGTGAAGAGTCTTCATCCTGCACTCACTAGTTGCACTTGCAAGTTGCAAGTTTATTTTTGCAAAACATCTGCGCAATGTGCTGTGAGCTAGGATGGAATTTCAGACTCATCTCTGATTTTCTTTGCATTAGTGGTCTTTTTTTATTTTGAAATGAAATTTTAATATTTTGTCTGTGTTCATCTGCTGTTTTATCCTTATCTGTGAAACAAGGGCTTGATCACTTGTCTTTGTCTGGCTGCAGCTGTGCCAGCTATAGAGGTTAATGTTTCCAGCCTTCCCCCAAATGCTTATTACTGCTTTCTCCCAGCTCCAGAATTAGCTGCTTGGGTGGGTGTTCTGTAACCCCTTTCAGTTAAAATGAGCCAGGTTAGCAAAGGCATACTTTTCATGCTGTTTAAGTTCAATTGGGCTTATTTTGGTAGAGGAGAGTTAGGGAATGTCCACCTGAGGTGTTCAAATGTGGCAGCCTCTAATGGCTAGCAGTAACATGCAGCTGGGAGACAAGCCTTCCTGAGCCGTGTCCTCCTCAGGGTGCACGTCAGTCAGATCCAGCCTGAGACAGGAAATCTCTGAAGTTGAATACTGAGATGGTATTCTAACATGTACATATTAATGTGAAACACCATGTTAGGGAGATCATGGCTACGTTTTTTCACTTTGCCCTATGCACTGAGAATATTTCAAATAGCATAGTGGGTGGCGTATTACTCCCAATTAGGTTTACCTAGGTTAGGTCCTATGTGCTGGCATGTTGGAAGTGAGCACATCTGTTGAAAGGTTTTACTAGAAAACATAACCACAGCAGGGTAGACCCTGATCTAAGTTAACCAGAAGATAAAAAAAGCTCCTTACTAGCTTGGGATCCATTGACCAGAAAAATAACAAACAGCCATTTGGCCACTTTCCATCGGCTCTTACACCACTTGGGCCTACAGTAGCACTGAAGGAGCTGAAGTTCTGACTGGCTTATGCATTTTCTGCTGCAGATAGGATTAAAACAAGTAAAAATCTTACATACCAGTTTTAAACGAATTAAAATGTTAACATCCCCAAGATACTTGGCAAGAATGACATACAGATGAAAAAAAGAAAGTAAAAGGTGGTGATCTTTAGTTTTCATCAGTTATTAAACAATAAGCCTAGTTAACTGAATAAAAATATTAAAATAAGAGGAAGTGAATGTAGTAAATGAACTGTGCTCCTACAGTTCCTGCTGTGATGCTTCTAATGATCTGCTCCATAGAACAGCATCAAAGACTGGTTTTTTTTAGAGTAATCACATAGCTTGATTAGTGTACGTATATATATATAAAATCTGAGGAATGAATTCAGTCAGAATACATTCTTTTTTAACATATAAAAATACTGAAAATGAACAGGAAAATCTTAGCATTTAAATATACCCCCATTTTTGTTGCTTGAGAAAAGAGAGCCCTTAAGTATACAAACCTACATTGCTACATAGCTTGCAAAATCAGTTATGTTTATCTCACCGGAGTTACTCCAGATATACAGTGCATATGGGAGCCCCTAAAATGAGAATCTTGCTCGGCAAACATGAAGGTGGAAGGCAGGAGGAGATAAATTTGATAAGATTGCAGAACCGTTTTCCTTCCCTTTTCAAGGCTGAGGAGTTGTTATGACACATCTGTTCAGCACACAGAGCAGGTAGGAGTTACATGGCATACAGTAGTTTTATCACAACAGATGGAATGATTTTAATTGTAAAAGTTAAAGACAAAAGAATGCCAAGTTTCTCACTTTGCTTGTTGTGGTGTGTCTTAAAGCAGTTGCCATCAATGAGTACCTCAAGGGGACACTTGCTTGCCTCTGAGAATTAGATCAGATTTAATGTTTCGGAACAGACATTAATAGAACAGCCCATTTCAAGGCAGTAACATTTTATCATCTGGTTTCTCTTTTTTCTAGGCAAAGCATACCCTTCCTCTCAGAGACCTCGGCCAAGCAGTCCTTTTTCTACTGACAGCAACACCAGTGCAGCTGTCAATCAGAGTCAGAGGCCGAGGCCCACTAAAAAACACAAGGGAGGACGATTGGACCAACCCCCCTTGCCTCATCGTAGGGAGGGGATAACAGACGGTAAGTGTTGTGGTGTGAAGTCCCTGATAAAGCAATGTAAAGCAATCTTTTAAGGAATATACATTATGGTGAATTATTTGTTTGGTCAAGTGGGGTCCCCAGGTTGCCATGTGAGCAATATCGCAACGCTAGCAGTGTGGAGCTTGGTTAAGTGAGTCTTCAAGGAGCTTTTCTTTGTTTCAGATCTGAACATCTTAGCATCTCTTGGGTTTTCTCAGATCTCAATGTAAATCTTACCGAAAAATGACTGCCTTGCACAGGGGTTGATATTAAAAAAATGGCCTGTGGGTAATTTTACATAAAATGAAAGTAGTCACCACCAGCAGTAGCAGTATGCCATGAATTCCTAAGGAGAAGCGTAGAGCCAGTCCCACAATGCCCTGTTTGGTTTGTGCTGGTTTTGACAGCCACCCAACAGCTATAGCAAGACGTGCCACACTTTTCTCATGATTTTACCTTATGTCTTGTCCGTGCTGCATAATTCCTGACATCCATTGACCTCAGTGACTTTGTTTCCCTCTTTCACATCTCCACTTCTCTCTGACCACCGCTTTCCATCCGGAAACTTCAGGCATGTCTGTTCTACTTTTCTAATGACTAAGCTCAGTCTTCCATTATCTTTGACTATCCCCTCTTGAGTTTGGCAAAAGACACAGTTGCTGCCTGTTACTCTTTGAGGAGGACTAGATAGGAAGGTGGCCCGCTGGCTGCCTCCCCTTCATTTCTTCTGATCTCTGGCCTGGCTCCTGTAGGTGTTGAAAAGATCAGAGGGGAGAATCAGGCAAATAGAAAACCAGCATTAAGGGAATGACTCAGGATATCTGTAATACCATGTAGATGGAGACATGATCACTTTCCTCATGCTGACCTCTTTCAGTGTTCAAAGTGGGGAAATTCTGAGAGCTACCCTGTCCTACCTGCCTCAGTGGCCCTCATAACACTATCTGGACCACAGGAGTGGGTGTGATGCCAGCTGGTTTATCTCCTAATCTTAAGTACATCTTGACAAATCTTCCAGTGTATGGAGAAGGTGTAAAAAATTTAAACAAAAAACTTTAGATTTTAGTGTAAACATCCTCCTAATTTTAGAAAAAATTACTTGAGAATCATAGAATCATGGAATATCTCGAGATGGAAGGGATCCATAAAGATTGTCAAGTCCAATTCTCTTCATTACCTTCTTTGGACAAGTAACATAATAAATAGATTTGATAGAGAGTATATTCAGTTTGGTTTAATTTTAATGGGTTATTTATTACTTTAGGTACATGTATAAAATATATTAACAGCTTGCAAGGTGAACTGTGGCCACTAAACCCACCAGAACTCTCCCCTCAGTCGTGTTATCAGGTATACAGGTACAGTTTTACAGTATGCTCTAACAGATTCCTTGTTTGTCAGACCACAGAGATGGAGAAGAGATTCCAGAAGTGGAAGTCTTAACCAAAGGGGTTATCATTACATCTCATGCTCTATGGCTCATCCTCACTACTGTATTATTTGGGAAAACAGCTTAAAGTAGCTTACACTCCACTCAAATGGATCTGAATTGGTTTAAACATTAATGCCCTCCCCTTCTGGATATATTCCAGAGGCCTCCCTGCTACACAGATCCATTAAATAGATGCGTCTGTTGAGAACAGTAACTGGAAATTGTGGGTTGCTTGCAGTGCTGTCAATACTCTTTTTGTGCATACGTCAAGTCAACCCTTTCATGTTGCATATCCTGTCACCCTGAACTATGAGCCTTTTGGACTATAAATTCTGTGTACATCTGAGTTTGTACTGCACTCAGTATGGTGGGACTTTAATCCTGCTTTTGAGTACTATTGCTATAGAAATGTTTAATGATAATGTGGGTACCAGAAAATTAATGGCAATCCAGTACTGGTCATGAGACAGATGGAAGTGCGACTACTCGGTGAGTGACTCCATAATAAAATCTAACATCATTTTAAATTAGTGAAAGAGATCAGAATTTAAGATTTATTGAAAAAAAAAAAAAAAAAAGAGGAATCTTCTGTTGTCTTTTATTTATTCTTTATAAAATACTAATCTTACTGGACTTTCATGTATTTGAGTCTGAATACCAATGATATACCATTTCCTTCAACAATCCACCTCTCAGACACAGGCAGTAACTGTAACAGCTTTTGGACACTGTTAGCTTAACATTAGCCTGTTATAAAACTAGTTAAAGTGCTTACCATATGTTCCAAAAATTTATAATGTCCTGGAGTAATAGAGAATCCTTTTCCATCCTCTCTCACCACAGGAACAAACAAACACAAATTGTACAGTTTTTCCACTTCAACTCTTACTGAATATGAGTCATGAAAATGTAACGGCAAGTCTGAGTCATAGCTAAATTTGCAAAAGAACATTTGTCAATTAAAGAAGCTAAAGATTGCTGCTGCCACCTGTGTGTATGTAAACAAACTGAATTTAGGAACCACTGGTATACAGAAATTAAAAATGGTAACTGGATGCTTTGTGTGGAATATTGCGATGAACTTTACAAAGAGAGACACTACCACTATGCTTAAGCTACTGTTAGAAAAAGCAAGTAGGAGAACCTGGGACAGATCCAGCAATTCCGAGACCTAATCCAGGCCAGTCCCTTCAGTCCCTTCAGTCCTGGGCCATTCTGATTTCAGTAGGAAGCATCATCATATATTTTTCTCCTGGTTTTGAGGTGGCTCCAATCCATTCCCTTACAACCGCTTCCTCTTGGATTTGGCGTACGAGAACATACTTGCTTTGTCGGTTGTCTTCAAATTCCCAAGCTGGATAAGTCCTAGCATCCTGTATTTAAGTCTCATCACATACTAGATATCTGTAATTTTAAAATTTTGTTGACTAAGTAAGCTCCAGCCATGTCCTTTCTCTGCCCTTTCCAATACACTTCATGAGTGCTTCCCCCTTGTTAACTGTAACCATGTGGGACGGTGCAAAAGACCGAAGGAAGTGTGATAGGTTAACCTTGGCTGGATGCCAGGTGCCCACCAAAGCTGCGCTCTCTCTCCCCTCTTCAGCTGGACAGGAGAGAGAAAATATAATGAAAGGCTTGTGGGTCGAGATAAGGACAGGGAGAGATCATTCACCAGTTACCATCATGGGCAAAACACACTTGACTTGGAGAAATTGGTTTAATTTATTACCAAAGTTCAAATCAGAGTAGGAGAGAATAAAAAAAACCCTGAATCTTCCTTCCCACCCACCCCTTCCTTCTTCCCAGGCTTAACTTTACTCCCGATTTTCTCTATCTCCTCCCCCTGAGTGGAGCAGGGGGACGGGGAATTGGGGCTGGGGTCAGTTCATCACACGCTGTCTCTGCCGCTCCTTCCTCCTCAGGGAGCGGACTCCTCACACTCTGCCCCTGCTCCATCCTGGGGTCCCTCCCATGGCAGACAGTCCTCCGTGAACTTCTCTACTGTGAGTCCTTCCCACGGGCTGCAGTTCTTCACAAACTGCTCCAGCGTGGGTCCCTCGCAGGGTCACTAGCCCGGCCAGCAAAACTGCTCCAGCCTGGGCTCCTCTTCCCTCAGGTCCACAGGTCCTGCCTGGAGCCTGCTGCAGCATGGGCTTCCCACGGGGTCACAGCCTCCTTTGGGCACCTACCCACTCTGGCATGGGGTCCTCCATGGGCTGCAGGCAGACAGCCTGCCTCACCATGGTCTTCACCAGGGGCTGCAGGGGAATCTCTGGACCGGCGCCTGGAGCACCTTCTCCCACTCCTTCTGCGCTGACCTTGGTGTCTGCAGGGCTGTTTTCTCTCACATCCTTTCACTTCTCTCTCTCCAGCTACTGCTCTGCAGCAGGGTTGGTTTTTTTTCCTCCTTAAATACGTTATCCCAGAGGCACCACCACCATCACTGATGGGTTCAGCCTTGGCCAGCAGTGGGTCCGCCTTGGAGCTGACTGGCATTGTCTCTGTCTGACACAGGGAAAGCTTCTGGCAGCTTCTCACAGAAGCCACCCCTGTAGCACCCCCTGCTACCAAAACCTTGCCATGCAAACCCAATACAAACTGTAATATTTAACACACTGATCCCTGACTATGTAAGAATATGAGGGTACACCTTCATGCTTACTTTTGACAGCAATCCACACAAATCCCCTAAAAGGCTGCTTCTTCATTTTCTTTGGTCACAGGTCAGAATTCTCTAGAGACTGACTCTAGATTGAGGCTTCATAGTTGTCTTCCTGTACAACTTGTTTTTTAACTTCCCCATCCTAAAAGACCATGGAGACAACAGCAAATCCACAGAGGAAGAATACCTTATGAACTCCTCAGATGATGGAAAACCTTCATTCTGAGCTCAGTCCACTGTAAAAAACAAAGAGGAGGTTTTTAGTTCTAGTGCTCAAGGAACAATTTGTTTTCTTGGAAACAATGTGGTAATGAATTGCAAAACGGTGGAATCTGTCATATAGGTGGTGGCATGGTAACTGCATGACTGAATTTAAAAGCTCTTCCTTAGCAGAGCACGATGTTTAAAAAACCCAAAGAGGATGCAGAAGAGAAATGTAGTTAGGGATTAAAAAGGAGACCTGGAACTTAGGATTTCTACTAGCTTTGTTGCTGACTTGCTATTGTCTATTACAAATTTTTACTGAGGTAGATCACTGTAGAGAAGATGCTTACTTTCTGATGCTAAAAAGTGGTTCAGAAGCTTATTAAATGTCACAGTAATTATCACCCTTAGGAAAACAAATCTCTGACCCAGGTAGAAAGTGATGTCTTGTTGGTTCTGTAACTTGCTGCTTTTTCCAGTTAATAATGAGAGGCTGTGCCAAATCTTAAATGGTACCCGCATCATTTGGCCAATGCTCTGCCTTCTAAAGGAGGGCTGGAGTAATCCCAGGCCAAGCATGCATCTGCCTCTTATCTGGCACTCTGATGTCTTCTCAATCACAATCCCTCCATTACTAAATCAATAAGACCATCACCTCCTCACCAGTGCACTTATAAACTGCCTTGCAAGTTTGATAATTCTGCCATTAGAGGCTGCAAGTGGTAGTCTGGATGACATCCCACTGGCCTAGTAAGTTCCTAGCTCACTGTGGGTGTTTTACCTGGCACCTGGAAGACAAATGGCATTTAGATGGAAGTACAGTGATAATGATACCGCTCTGAGTTTCCTCTCTGAAAATCCTGCTAAGTCCTTACATTTCTGGATTCAAAACTTCTCTGAAGTGATTGACATGATGGAATGAGTTGGCTTGCCTCTACATGGTAATAAGTCTGCCTGTTAGGGACTGAAACTTCTAACTTGCCTGATCTCTGTCACCCCTTTATTAGCAGCTGAAATGGCAACCATTAACCATCATGTATATGCATACTAGCAAGTATGCGTGGAGACATGCGCACAGTCGCATGTGGATGTTTTTGGCTGGGAAGTGAGAGGAGAGGCAAGAATATTCTCTGTGGCACTGGAGGATGAAACTTGTGGCTCCAGATACATGGGGTCTTTATATATGCCCAGGCAAGATAACAGAGCATATTTAGTAATTTACCTAAGGCAGAAGATTTGCACTATAGGATTTAAGTTGTAGAGCAAATAAAAAGCCGCATTTCCAAATGAAGCTCTCTCCCAGTTTCTTTTGTTCAAAAGGAAAGGTAGGTGTTACTGCCACAGTCAACCTGAGTGAGAAGGTGAAAAAGCAAATGGTTCAGTCAGGTGATGATTGTCTAGAATTAGCAACCGTTCTTACACATCTCAGACATGTCTAACACAGTTCAGTAAGTCTGTACTCATGCTGCAGCCAGCTTGCATTAATTCTGTAGTACCTGTAATTCTTCTAGAATTGTGTGAAGCTTCATCAGAAGCTAAATTTTATTTTTCATTTCAACTCATCCACAGGCCTTAACTACCCAAAGCACTTTACAGACATGGTTTTTCATTTCACTTCTATGCATCAGGCAATCATTATGCCCATTTTGCAGAAGGGTAAAAGCAAGAATCAGGTGAACAGTAGCTCAACAGCATAAGCTTACAGTAATTCCGGGAGTTGAAGCTAGCTCTAGAATATGCAGTACGGTTTAAGTACAAACCTTTCCTTCTCAGTATCTAATTAATAATAACTATTAGACAGCAATTTCTGAAGAAGGGTACTGTACGTTAAAAAGTTTAATACTGCAGTATTTTTTTATTTCTGTGATATTACTTTAAAATTTTGTTTATATTGAATGGTAAATATTTTATCTTGGAAAATTGCATTGTCAGATGTCATGTTATGACTGTGTTTATTGGATTCAATGCATCTCCATAAAGTGCTTATAAATCACAACTTCAGTAATCTCTATTTCAGATTGCATAAGCAGATGCCAGTGTTGTGGTTCTGTACATTAACTGGTTATGATCGCAATAAAATCAATTATAAGAAATGCCATTTTAGAAGCCAACGCTATAAAGCAATTTTAACATTGGCAAGCTCCCATACCCTCCCACTTCCACCTACAGTAACTCAAGTATAGTCATTGTCATGAAAGGTCACATCTATATTCATAACTAAAAATTTCTCAGATAAATTAGTGCTGAACATAAAGCATACACCAAGCTCACTGACAGATTATTATAAGGCTGTTCTAGCCAGAAGATAGATATCTTAATCTGGGGTATAGCACTTCAGCTGTGAACAAAGGTACGGGAGCAACATCAGATACAACTTCTTTCCTTTGTAGACACAAATAACCCACATATCCTCATTTATCTGTAAGAGGCAATGTTGCCTGGAATGACATCTCAGCAACTTTGGAAGCATTTCTGCCCCATATGTGAGATAAAAGTATCACAAGCAAAACATGAAAAAAAGTCGGTGTAACATTATACAAAACTGGATTACAGCCTTCAAAATAAATTCACTCCAAAGGCCTCCTCACCAATTTATAAAATTAATTTTAGTTTCACTAGAGTTATAAAAATCAGACTTCTCTGCAGGCAAACCAAAGGTTTCCTTTTCCATGCCTTTTATTGAGCCAAGGTCAACTCCTTGACAGCACTGTAAGGTACAAAAGACTAGAAAGCAGGACAAACCCATACCTAGTGTAAACTAACATAGGTTTAGTGAAGTTGGTGGGGCTGCACAGATTTGTTTGGGCTATGAATTTCTCAAAACCAGAATTATCAACAAGTGTCCTTCACATAAAACAGGTATCCTATATGGGAGAGTTTTCATTACAATACTAAAGGCACTTCCCTTTTCTGATTCTTTTTTAATGGACTATAAGTCTGTCATATAGCTTACAGGAAAATCTGACATTCAGAATTATAATTATCCAGATTCTATAATTACCTTGGGTCAAGGACTAATAAACAAAATGTACTTTTGCCTCCACAAATGTGATTAGAAGCTTTATCTTCAATTCTACAAGCATCTTAGTCCAAATCGTAAACTTGAAAAGAACAGGAGTTATTAGAGACCAGGCAAGCATCATCCAGTGTTCAGCTGAAATTGAATTTTGCTTGGTTATATTTGCAAGACTGCTAAACTTAAAGAGTGGCCATCCTCTTGTCTGTGAAGACTCTATCTAGCTCTTGGCTGAACTTTCAAATAGTGCTTGAATAAAACGTTCAGCCATTGTTTGGTGGTTCCATTTAAACATGCATTTTTCAGAGATGTGCTGATGCTTTTTCAGTGACAGCGGGTTCTGTGAATAATTTTTCCCAAAAATTTTGTGGAATTTTCTGCATTTTGATGAAGTTGTGTATTTAGATTTTGAGTTTAAGCCTCAAGCTGAAAGTTCAATTTCAGCCCAAAAATGGGGCTGATGAAGCAAGGCCCAATATGATGGGGGGAAATTACTCTGTTAACTGGCACAAATCAGTTTTTCATAGCCTTTCTTGACTGCTTGTTGTTACAGAAAGAGCCAGATGGAGTATATCCCACAGAAAATAAATCCCATACCTAGAAATGTAAGTCAGGGCTTACAGTCTATTGATTTTTATGCAAGTTAGAAAGAGCTAGACACACAGTAACCTGAGTAAAAAACTAGTGGAAGGTAAACCCACATTTCTGATGAACATGAAATTTCCTCCTTTTAAAATCGGCAAATAAAGTGATTCGTGCCATTTGCAAGGGACTTTTCTTTTCAGCATCAAGTAGACCTTCTGTTTCATTAAAATAGTAGTTCATCTGAATCTTATTCACGTTTTTTAGATCTTCCACCACCACCCGACCCGCCCCCTGGTCAGGGTTTAAGGCAGCAAATAGTCCCTGGCCAGCGCGGAGGCTCGGCAGAGAGGAAAGGAAGCTCTCTTGAGAGGCAGCATGCACCGAACGTAGATGAAACAAAGAGCTCCCTGGACCGGCAAGCTAGGACATCACTAGAGTGGCAGCGGCAAACCCAGGAGTGGATAAGCTCTACAGACCGCCAAGAGGATTTCAGGAAAGCCCAACACAAACAAGCCTTCGGATCAGGTGCGTGTGCGCTGCACCAGCCGAGGCAATGCAGACAGCTTTTTTAAAATTGGCAAATAAAGTGATTCGTGCCATTTGCAAGGGACTTTTCAGCATCAAGTAGACCTTCTGTTTCATTAAAATAGTAGTTCATCTGAATCTTATTCACGTTTTTTAGATCTTCCACCACCACCCGACCCGCCCCCTGGTCAGGGTTTAAGGCAGCAAATAGTCCCTGGCCAGCGCGGAGGCTCGGCAGAGAGGAAAGGAAGCTCTCTTGAGAGGCAGCATGCACCGAACGTAGATGAAACAAAGAGCTCCCTGGACCGGCAAGCTAGGACATCACTAGAGTGGCAGCGGCAAACCCAGGAGTGGATAAGCTCTACAGACCGCCAAGAGGATTTCAGGAAAGCCCAACACAAACAAGCCTTCGGATCAGGTGCGTGTGCGCTGCACCAGCCGAGGCAATGCAGACAGCTTCTTGACACTTCTCAGCGGCGGGTTTCTGTGTCTGGCAGGAGTCTAGGAACACCTCACGCCCTGCTGTGCCAGTGCTGGTGAGGCTTGGGCTGGAAAATAAGAAAAGGCAAAGTGAAATGAGACCTGGTGATCCAAGTAATTTCCCTCCTGCAACAAGGAAATCTCATTAGCACCTAACTCAGTGCATTCTTTACAGTGTTTTGGCAATTAAGGATGTTGTCAAGCGTAGCGGTGGAAAAACAGGAAGAGTTTCAGGCAGGCAGTGAAGGAGAAACAGATTTTGAGAGTATTTTCTGTTAGACGTATTTATTTGTACATACAGGGCCATATTTTCTAGTTCTTTCAACCTGCTTCTAAATTGGCAGCAGTTGGTTTTACATGTCTGCAAGAAGGCTGATCCTTCTCAGCTACTGACATTCCTTCCAGATGTATTTAAAACAATGTCTTCTCCTTATTCAAGGATATGGCAAAGTAACGTTCATCTCTTAGGCCCAGCAAGATGACAGTGTGGGTTTTCACCTTTATACAGGACCAACTCATTGCCGAGTGCTGACTTTGTCTCCTAAAAGGATTTCAAGTCTGTAAAAATGTGTGCAGGAGGCAATGCTGAGCTGGAGCTGGAGTTCTACAATATTCAGAGATTCCTTCTCTCAGCCTGATATCAAGTAAAAGCTGCTGGCTCAGGTCCCCTTACTAGGGTATTTTCTTTAACCCACTAATCACATGGTATCCCAGTGCTGATTAGAGTGATACAAGAGGACAATTAAGAAAATTAAAAAAAAAAAAAAAAGATACTGTATGTGAAGCTTTTACACTGTTTCTTTAAGTATGTACGTAGCTCCCACAGTAACACTAGAGGTACTCGTATTGTCCACCTTTTTCTTGATTTTATTCTACTATTAATGCTCCTTGTGAATCTAGCACACTAACATCAATGACATTTAAAAAAAAAATAGTAGTATGCAGGCAAACCTGTCATGAGGGAAGGGTTTACTGTATAAAGTCCTCCTAGGAAATAAGGCTACCCCTATTTAAAATGTAAATATTTTAAATACAATCTATGTTTTAAAATATAACAATAATGGTACCGTTAACCCGCCCCTAATCTTTCAGCTGCATAGACGATTGAGTGCTTGTTCATGTTGTGAAATGATGACGTGAAGTCACAGATTAAAAATAGTTTGTGAAATTCATGCTACTTGGTGAAATGGCATTTTTAATTACAATGTACAAGATGTACAAACACACAGACAATGTCCTGAATATACTTTATACATCTCATTTCTTTGTAAATTATTATTAAGGATGCTTCTCTGACCTTGTTAACAAGAACTCCTCTCCTTTTCCTCTGCTTCGTGAGTGTACAAATAGAAGTTGTCAGTTGTTCTGTGATTCAGAGGGTACACAGTAGTAAAATTCCCATCCTCCAGGACTTGCATTTATCTGTCCTTAAATAAGAACAACTTGATCTTGACACTTCCAGTGCCCTACACAAGCACTGAATTTAGGGCTGGAGTGATTACAGTTGTCTTATTCTTGTCAAATTCAGGATGACCAGAGAAATTGCATATTCTTTATGCATGACAAAGGATTCCTTTAGGAGATATTTATGGTTTTACTGTGGTGGGAGGGGTTCATAAAGTTCGTGCACAAGGTGGGCCAGAACTTCATACCTGTCTGTCTGTATTCTCATTCCAGCTTCTTGCACGATGACTTTCTTGCTCTGTATTCTTTTCTCTGGTGGATTTAAAAAAGGCTACTTTTGTGTGTGATGCTTGTTTATATTACTAGATTTGCAGGGTTTAATAATATTAATTGCGCTTCTTCCCTTTTCCTTTGTTAATGACAAAGAGGCCTGGAATTCTATTCAGTCCCAGTTTTCAATATAGTTCCAAAAGGAGTTACTATTAGCTATCAGCTTCCAGGAAATGGCTATTTTTCTGCTTAGGGGGCTTCATTCATTCAGGCATTACCAAGCTGTGAGTGAAATTTTGAAAGCAAAAACTTTGGTCTGAAGTTGAATAGGATAAAAATACTGGGAACCGCATTTCCACTGGTTGCTTTCAGTATCAACAAGGTTACTAAGTTCCTGCCAATGGCTTCATTGTGGAACTGCAGTCACAGCACATTTAATATTCTCAGCTACCCCTCTAAAGAAAGTAGTGCTAGATCAAGTTATAATAGTTTTGATAATATTAAAAGCCTTTGGGTTATCTTATGGGATATAGAAACACCATTACACACATATATCCTCATTTCACAAGGGCTAGAATTATATCTTCAAATTAAAAGCTCGGTATTTCAAAGAGAAAGACATCAGCAAAGCCTCCCCATATTCTTTGCAGGCCTGGGGCATGGGGGTACTGTTTTGAGTGTTTAATAAATGTGAGCCCATTCTGAGGACTTGAGAAAACTACCTTTCATGTGCTAGAATGTTGTGAAAACCTTAGCCTTTATTTTATGTCACAATTGCTTATTTTATGGATTGCATTTATTTCTGAGGGCACAACAGATAATTTAACACACCATATGCTCTATAATGATAATGCACTTTATATTTATTCATGGTCGTTTTTTCTCAATATTTCATTGAACCCGAAGGAGGCCTTATCCTGAGTCCACAAACTAGAAAAACAAATCAATTGACCATATATGTCATCTTCAAACTCTTTTGCAATGCTAGTGACTTTTCTTTCCATCCTTTAAAAATGTAACCAGCTTTCTGCTAAACTGATTTATGCTGCTTGCTTTATTGCTGCCTTAATGCAAGCTGTTCCATATTTTAGCCAGCCTTTGCAAACCAGGTTTGCATCTGATTCTATTGTTAGGGCTTGATATATAAAGAACAGGTAACATAATTTAGGAGGCTATGGCTGTTAAATGCCATTTTACTATGTCTTTTAAGCATTTATTTATATTTCAGCAAGGACAGCACACGGTCATAGCACAAAACATTGATAATGCCCTTTCGTCCTGCAGCGCAAATATTCCGGTCCCTTGAGCAGGGCCGGGGAGAGATACTTTGGCAGAGAAAGAAGTCAGCTGCCTGCCCTCTTCTGCAACAGATTCACCTTACAAACGGGTTCTGTTCAATAGGAGATCACACGGGGAATTCCTGTGTCCTACTCACTTGTGGCAGTAGGCACAAAGAATGAAATCCTGGGTTTCTTCCACAAATTTGTTCTCATTTAGCATTTCCCTATGTTAATTGTGCCCCTGCTGCAGCCTTTACAAAGGCTTCAAGAGTGTGAATAAAAGCATTTTTATCTCCTCTTTCTTTCCAACCATCCCCACCTACTTTTCTTTCTGTGCCCTCTGTTCAAAGAAAGTCTTTCTCCTCATCAGATTGTTTAAGAGTGAAGACAGTGGGAAAAGCAAAATAAAATAAGAAAAAACTCTCAGCTCAGTTTCACATTAAAAAACCTGCAAGATTCGAGCATAAGATATCCCACTGATTTCAGAAGGGGCAATTTCTGTGTTTGAGGTTAAGCATATATACTCATAATCTTTCTTGAATCAAACTATATTTAGCAAGTTCTTTTTCTTCAGGTTCTGAGACAGCAAAAGTGGATCATACACAGCAAAGAAATAAAATAGGGCTTCTATTTCAGTGTTAAATCAGTGCTGCTGTTTTGCTTCTTAGGTTAGGGTTATTACAACAATATCTCCTGGAAACTCTAATCAGATGTGATGTCTTGTTTTACTTCATGCTATATGAAGACATACAGTCCTATACTTTATTGGTATTAATCCTACTCTTGCAAGCAGTTCATTACTACAGGTCTTCAAAAAGGAAGAGGCCAAGTGAGCAAAAGTAAGCCTTTTGCTTATAATGGAACATGAAACAAGCTGCAGGAAGATTTACTCACCCCAAATATTACAACTACTAGTATTATGTGTAATGTAATATTTTCCAATGTAATTCACAACCAGTTAAAAAAATCTTCAGTGTACTTTGCATCGTTAGAAATTACTGAGCTGCTGGAAGCTAATTAAATTAGCTGATATTGTAGTTCTTTATCTAAATTGATTGAGGTAATGTTACCATAACTTAAGCTAAAGAAAAGGAAAAAGCACATTCATGTAATCTTGAAGCAAAAATCTAATCATAGCTGCACTGTTTTGGAAATTGTATGTGCATCTATTTTTATTAAAGTGTCTATGATTCATGATCTATTACTTCATAATGAATCTAGACTTTTTATAATTAATACAAATGAACTTATGAGTTTACATGAAATCAAGATTAAATTCATGCTGGTTTCTTTGTCTGTGGGATACAACACTGAGCTGTGTATTTTCTTAGGTAAAATTGCCATGCTATAAAGCAAGACAAAAGACAGATATCTGAGGGCAGGAACGAATATGATGTCCATATAAGAACAGCTTGATTATTTCTATTTATAGGTATTTATTTGGTATTGATTTTGTTTTGTTTGTTTTGCTTTACTAGAAGAGGCACTCGTACCATATAGTAAACCCAACTTCCCATCCCCTGGCGGCCACAGCTCTTCAGGAACAGCTTCTTCTAAAGGATCGACCGGACCTAGAAAAGGTGAAGTCTTGCGAGGAGGTCACCACCACAATGCCAGTGACCTTCTCGATGTAGGCTATGTGGGATCAAACAGTCAAGGACAGTTTACTGGTGAATTATGTAAGTTTAGCTATGGTTCAAACTCTCCAATAGACAAAAAGAGAAAAATGATTAAACTGTTGCGAAGAGAGGAGGAAGTTGAGTGTGATAATCAGATTAAAATTTCCCCCGATCTTTTTGCCTTCTGAGGGGTTTTGCCTGTGACGACAAGCAAGTGAAGTACTTCTGTTCTTTGTTTTGGACCAGTTCATGGTGTAAGCCATGCCAATGTTACCTACATAGTACTACTTTCAGTGTGTAATGCTAGTGAAACACTGGGAAAATTGAAAAGAAATTCTAGTAGATTAGAATTTCCTTGGCAAAGTGACTACACTTTGTGCTTGTCTTGGAAATGCCATTGGCAGTTTTTCTCAGAGGAATGAATGAGAAGTATGCTGAATTTGTTGGGCATGGTGGCAATCTTGTGATGCCTTCTCCTTAACTTTCTGTTGCTTGATGAGCAGTGTTCTGCTCTTTTTGACCTCAGGTGGCGGTCCACTTTTTTCATCTGTGTAGCTCAGTTTTTCAGTTGTATATCCCAACTCTTTCCTCAACTTCCCAGGCCAGGGGAATTATCTTCCAAACTTTTTTCTGTTACCACTCAGTGGCTGTTAAACTGTGTATAAATCCATGTTAATGCTGTGTACGTGATGGTAGTACTAGATGCCAAAAGGCTTGACTCTGTTGTTTGAAGTAGTACATCAACATCCTGGCTAGCTCAGGCATACTGGCATGTTTACCAGTAAAAACAATGTAGCCGTTGGCATGTCTGCCTCCTATGTGCTGCAGTCAAACCCTCAGTACCCCCCAACAGTTACCACCCACTAGCTTGTAAGAGAGCTGATGGTGATCCACAAACCCTGAAATGTGCTATCTCAGATATGATGTTGGTAAGTGCTGAATTTTAGCATCCATCACTTCTCAACTTAGAGGCAATTAACTGTCTTCTCCCAGCCTATTGAATATTCACCCTGTGCTGCAGTAATATTGCCATAGGCTTTGTTTTGTGGTTTTTCTCCTTACTACAACCTCTTTCTCTCTCTTTGTTTCTCTCTATAGAGTAGTTGAGAAGACACATTGCAAGCTGCTCTGATGGACCATCAGGTCTGAACTCATGGAAGTGATGACACTAAACAGTGCAATGAACATTTTCTTTATTTATGTACTATTAAAAGAACTGTAAATGCAATGTAAAGACACACAGCCACACATATCCCACAGATACTTTACTTGTGTTCTTCTCTTTAATACACCATCCACCTTAAAGTATTCCTTGTCAGGAGTATATAAAAAAGCAAGAAAAAAAAATCACCCTCCAGGATGAAAAGGATTTCCTTCTGTATATAATTTCTTTTGTTGCATTGCTATGCAAGCTCACCTTCTTTTTAGCTATGTTCATATTCATGTCTGTTTTTATTGGTCTGTTGTACTATATGTGAATTAATAGGCTGTGGTGCCATATATTAACTTTTAATTGTGGAACTTTTATGTTTAAAGTTTGCACTGCAATTTTATTTGGTGATAAGCACAAAACTCTACTCCTCATGACATGAAGAAAAAAAGAGACTGAATGTGTGAAGGTTTACGTACTGTAAGCTACTTTGGATAATGCTGGATGTAAAGGAGTATGTTAGGTGGTTTTCCATTGGGGTGTAGAAATGAGAAAGTGACAGGCAAAACTGATGTCAGTGACAACATTAGAGACAGATTTAAATCTTTTAAAAGCAAGCAACATAGTTGCTCTTCCTATTTAAGAAGGGGTCAGAAGTTGGAATTGTGAGATTAAAGAGAGAATATGAAAATTAAAGGTAGCATGAGATGGCCTAGACCCTTTCACTATGATGATGCCCTTAGTATCTGTTTTGAGCCATCCCATGCCACTAAGTAAAGGGGAAGAAAACCAAACCTTGCTACAAATGAAAGAACTTACTTAAGGTGTTTCACTAAAGCTGTTTTTATATTGCAGTTTTAAAAGAATAATTGCCATTAATTTCTCCAACCCAAAATATAAGGCAGGTTTCCCAGGAGAAACAAACAATATAAACTCAAGGAATACCTAGCAAGTAGTTAAGGATGCAATTTATTATTAAGACGTATTCAGGCTGCTTCCAAAAAATTGAAATGTCAGAGTATCATATCTCATCTTTCCAATACATGTACAGTACAATAGAGGATAGAGCTGCACCACTGAAATTCATGACATTAACTGTTTTGATGCAGTCTAAACAAACCTTTGTGTTCTGTTACCTGAAGTCTGCGAGAGCGGAAGCTGGATCCACTAAATTTGTAGTAAAATGTTTAGTGTTTGGAAGGAAAGCAATGGTCAAATTATTTTCGGCTTGCATTAAGTACATTTCTGGCAATACAATACATCCAAAAAGTTGGATATAAGCAAAGAAAATCTTTGACCTGTGTTTTAGTGAGTGGCTTCAAACCCTACTATGGTGAGGAAATAACGCATGTTTATATGCTTTTTGAATAAAGCAAACTCTGTAAGTGGACATTAATGACAGCATCCTGTCTCTTCATTAGTTTTCATGACTTTGTCCAAATCTTCTGTACCTCTCAAATCTCAGTGAGTAAATTGTCAAACTTTTGTTAGAATACTGTATGTGGATAGCCCACTCATTTGATGCTTAATTTAAATATTGCATCCTACAGCTTATTTCTGTTAGTTATCTGATCATGAACACAAGTTTCCATTTGAATACCCTTTTCCTATAACCAGTCTATGTTGTTTTATATATTGCCTTGGAGCTCACCAGTATTAAGAACACTTTTAGTAATGGCAGAATTTTAGAAAAGTAAATTACAATGCTAAATATGTGTTGCTTTTCATTTCATTAACTTGTTCCATGATAAGATAAAACACTACAGCCGTCAACTATAACTCAGCACTACTGAATATTAAAAAAATGCTAGTCAACTTTCCTAAGGTCAAGACTGTTATTTAGCAGGTTATAAACCAAAAAAGTCGAGAAAAAAATGTATGCATTTTTTTATATATGTGACCAATGAATACATGTAATTTTGCTGTTTGTTAAACCATTGTTAAATGGTTCTTAAACCATTATAGTTAAAACCATTACTTAAAAATGTGCAAAAATGTTCAAGCAAGATAAAGAAGTCATCATATTTACATATGTATGGTTTTTATTTTGGCATTATCATATGATGAGAAGACTATTCAGGGCACAATTGAAATTTAATTCTCTGGAAAATGTTTAACTCAGTCATTGGTAGATTATTTTTTTTTCCTTTTAATTCAAATGCTTGTGCTGAGCTTTGGTGGAACACCTTACTCACTATAGTCTATTCAAAATTCAGTATCATTAGACATTGATAAAGCCATCTCAATTACTTTCAAATATGTGTTTTATCTCTTCCACTGGAAAATAAATGTGTGTCAGTATTAAAGCTGTGCAGTACCATGATATTCACTAACTTGTCCATCTGCTTCTGTATATTTTTGTTCATTAATAATTTGCTTACAATATTACATAAGGTGTTGTTGTGTATCGCAAAGTGTCTCCATTATCTTACAGGTGATGTCTCTTCTTTTTTTTTCTCTCTCTTTTCTATACAGTGTACTTCCAATGAACCACAGTACATATTTTTTAAAATGCCATTTAATTTACTATTTTAAAAGAATTATTCTTCTTTTTTTTTAAAAATTGAAAACATTTATTGTGAATAATGTGTTTAAAGAAAAGGGATGTTGTGGCAGCACTTAGAATTGTTTTTTAATTTGTTTTTTTAAAAAACTGTCTATTGGCTACAGTTTGTTCACGAAAAAGTATGATCTCTTAATGTGTTTCATTGGTATTGTTAGTGCAGCAAAGTTTAATTGGCATAAAAAGTTGGTTAATAGTACTGTTGAAGTGTGTATTGTATATTTACTGGGGAAAAAATAAAACATATTCACCTTTCAAATCTATGTTAAAAGACCTTGAGTAAGGAGTCAATATATGAAAACCCAAACTGGGAAAATCAGGCAATAATAACATAGACTGAGCTATAATCATCACTGTCCACTTACAGTAACAAGGAGCATTTCATACGCTGATTTGTGAACTAAGCTAACAGCTGTCTTATAGATAGGTCAGTGGTAAACGTTGCCTGTCATAGGGATTGCTGTTTAAGGTCCTGTGTATATTGGGAATAGTTGTACCAATGCAATTGCACTGATACAGCTATTGTAGTGCTACATCCTCCGTTTGTAGACATACTATATCAATGTACAGTAAGGACCACAAGTGCACAGCCTGTTTTGCTTAAAGCCCGTAAAGTAGTGGACATATAAAACCTGTGTTCAGTGGGTCTGAACCCATGGACTTGGGGTTTTGCACTGGTGGAGCTACTGCCAACCCAGTACAGAATATCCCCAGAAGGTACAGAGAGATGTGAGGTCAATTTTTCTCAATCTTTGCAGTGACTATATGGTCAATTTTAAACACAGGAGGGTTGAAGGACCAAATAATAAATTGTTACATGTACTTCAGTGGTGTATTGCTGTATGGGCAGCCATTTGAGTGATGCAAACAACAGACATTTCTTTTTGGTATTTATTATTTCTCAAGTCCTTATCCAAGTCAGTAAACCTTTTGAGTAACTTTTGGTTGTCACCTGAAATAAAATAGAAACACCCGTTCCTTGGGGCAAGTACAAAAGAAAAGGACCATGGAGTGTTTTAAGTATATTGATTTAACTATACACCAGTGCAAAAGGAAGGCATGACTGTTTGAAATAATAACATGGTGGCTTATGTTTGCCTCAGCCTGGACATTGCCAGCCAGGAGAAAAGGTGTGTATTAAGGCTGAGAAAGAGTCCTCACAACTGGCAGAGGAAAGGTAATCGGGTTGGGGGAGATTCTGGCAGGAACTGTTTCTTTTTTTAAAAAATATAGGCAGCACCTTTGGCTTTTCTACAATTTATGCATTTTGGTTTTTTTACGATTAATAGCCTTGTGGAAGTTTAGCAGGGGAACTAGAAGGAAAAAAGTTGGCCTTCTTTTGTAAAGAGTGGGGGGAACTTTTTTGCCGAGGGGAAGATTTTTTAATTTTATTTTTATTTTTTTAACACATTTTGTTCCATCTATTGGGAACACGTTAGCTAAAAATAAATTATATTTGAAAACCATGTGGGCAA